TAGTTGTGTACTGATTTATGACAATACCATAGATACCTTTTTATTTCTGTAAGTATCCTTACCGTTACGAAATTGGGTCACTTATGACCAATAGCTGATCCAATAATGGATATGGTGTAGTTAAGGGGGCTTGGAAGCCCTAGATGAATGAATCATTCTTTTCTTTCTTCTTGTTCTATTTCTGACCATTGTCTCTCTGCTTTTGACCTTAGGGAGACAGCTAGGTCAAGAGATCAGGGTGAGATCTCTATCAATTGTCCTTATCAAAAATCTTGTCTTGTCGTAGGATATATTGTCTATGTTAGAGATCTCTTGTCACATGTCTTAATACACAATCTTTGTTAGAGATCTCTTGTCACATGTCTTAATACACAATCTTTGTTAGAGATCATCTATTGCATGACAAGATACACTGTCCTTGTTAGAAATCTTTTGTCTCAATTTAGATTTTATTTTTTTAATTGATTCAATGTATAGTTCAATACACTTCTGCTCTCAAGACTAAAAATTGGTCAACATACATTTTTGTGGGTTGACAAGCTTCTCGTTCTTTAAGTGGGTTGGCACATTAGGTTGACTTTGTCTCTTTTTTAAGTTTTCTTCTAAAACATTTACTTTTTAATTTTATTTGGATAGATTTTTACATAGTTCAAGACTTTTTTTTCTAATATTTTCAAGACATATGTCAAAACTTTGCATGTGTATTAAAACATGTTTTCTAGGATTTTTCATTTTATTTTTGTATGATTTATTATGAATAGTGAAACTCAACAATGTTTTGATGACTATTGGGTTTTGAACTTGATTGATCAATATACATTTTATTTATATTTAGGATGAATATAAAATATCCCTTTACCATTCCTTTAAGTAATAGATTTAGGAATGAAGGTAACATGTCGTTTCATCAATTATTTATTATTCATAAATATTATATTAGTTTGAGCAGGATTCTTTTCATTCAAGAGGATTAGAATCTATCATTTACCACATTGATTCATAGTCTTGAATTATATATTTAAGAACATTGATACATAATTTATTTAACTAGAACAAGAGATGTTATTTCATTAAAAGTTTACTCAAATCTTAGATCAAAACGACAACCACAATTAATGAATCATTACCACTAATTTTGTAGAATTTACAGTTTGAAGCATCATTTTGTAAGAAAATGGTATAAATAGTTTTTGATATAAGGTATTCATATGGTCAACATGGAAAAGTTTCTACTTTGTATTTGAACATAATATGTTAGAACCAAAGGCTACATGTCTACAATTTACAACATTCATAAAGAAAAAGAAATATAGAACTAAACACATGCAGAAACTTAAAGATTCAATTTGAAGCTTGAGAGTATAGTTGTTGTTGCTGTTGTTGAGGGCGTGTTGTTGTCCCTATCACCACCATCTCCGTGCTCATCTCCTCCTCTGCCTATCACACCAAACGAGAGTTCATAGTCATTACCTTTGTCACCATCATTATTGTTGTCACCATCGTGAGTGCCGCCGCTACTGTGCTCCTCTCCTCATTTGCTTGTCACACAAATGGGAGTTTGTAGCCACTGCTGCTGTCATCACCACTATTACTATTGCCATCATGAGCATTACAACCGCCATGCTCGGCCCCTTCTCTGCCTATCACACAAAATGGGACTCATCACCACCATCAATACTATTGCTATTGTCGTTGTTGTAGTTGTCGCTATCATGATTTCCCATTCTTCCACTTATCGCCCTCTTTTATCTTTGCAAGCCCTAACTTCTGCCGATCATGCGTGCTTCCCCCTTTTTCTCTCTCCTCTCTCTACCTTTAAATACCCCCCATTAGAATGGGCTGGTATGTGACTTCATAATGGACCACGTGTAATGGGTCCGCTGATCAACTCATTAAACACTTAAAAATTACAGAGAATCCATTTAAAATTTATATTAGCCTTCTTTTAATTTCTCTATATGTAAATATAAAATTTTCATCTATTAGAATATCCAACATTACATAAAAAACCTTTTGATTCAATAGAATATGCATGTTATAAACACTTTTTATATGTAATTCAGTAAATAATATAAATTCACATAAAAAATATATTTTCATTGAATGTATGCTTTCATTAAGACATTTAAACTATGTGAATAAAGCCTCAATCATATCAAGTATACATACCCTATCATGTAATATTGAGGCTTTATCAATAGGCATCTAAGAATCAATTGGCTAGGAAATTGGTTAATTTTTAGTCATATTTCATTTCTCTACCCCTCTCTCCACTTCTTTCTCCACTCATTTTTCTCTCCTCAAGTCATTTTAATATAATGAATTAAATAGACCCAATGGGCCTCTTAGTGGGCTTCCTTAATGGGTTTCAAAATACCCCTAGAAATCAACATATTTCGAAAATATTATGAAAATTATTCTTTTTTTTTAAAACATATGTATCAAGAAAAATGAACTCTAAGATTTTATTTTTTAAGCCTTAATTATGATAGATATAAGGGGGGAAAATAACAAGTAGAGCATATTAACATATAATCAAGAAATATTAAAAGTATAAACATGGTATAAAATTATGTAAAAATTAATCTAGAAAAGACTTTACTTCATTTGACTTTAAATCTATAAATTTTTCATGAATTAATGTATAAAACATACCAATTATGTATTACTTATCTCATCACATATAAATGACATGTTGTCAATATTGTATCATCATAGACTCATTTTTAATGATTTCTTTTCTTATCCTACTCCACTATGCAAGGTTTATGTCTTTGGCTTTAGTCAATGACATTTGAATTATTATACTTCAGCTACATTCACTATGTTTAATAGATCTAGACAACTCAAAATCTATCTTCAAAACCTTCTTTCAGATTACAATGCTGATCAAAATTCATGGCTCTAAGTCAACTATACTAGTTTAACTTCCTACTTATCCCTTTAAAAATCATGGATGCTCCTTTAGTGAGGTTTCACCTTTGTGCCCTCTTTTGATCTTCAATTCATGCCCTTTGATGATATATCTTCATGATTCTTAGCTTATAAGTTTGTGGAGTGCATTCTACTAATTTAAACTTAATTATTTGAACTTTTCATGAGTTTTATTCATCATTTAATGGACAAAAAAGTGCCTTTTAATAAAATTAGTGTGTTCCATTAGCTATTTATGTTTTTGTTATTTTCTATAGCACTCAATAGCTATCTACTCTCTCATTATGTGGTGGCACATATTGGGACTTATTTTGGCACATGGAGCATCATAAAATAATTAGTATAAAATTAATAAAAAATAATTTAAATACTATTAGATAACATGTAACATATCCTGGAGTTTTAAGGCCATGTAAAATATTTAATTCAGTTTTTTTGTAACAATTTTCCCTTGAGTTGATTCTTCTCAAGTTGAAGGTTAACCACAACAAACAATATCAAAATCATCTAGATAGACAATGCTACAATGACAAACCGTACTATATTATTCTTCTATACAATTTTCTAGCATCAAAATTTTACTTTAGCTCCTAAGTCAACATAATGCACATAGCTTGGCAGTGTTGGTGGCAAAGTAAGAATTAAACTACATAATCAATGTCGGAATTGATAACATTGGGTTCTTCAGAATTTTCAATTTATTTATTTACATGGTTTTCAAAATAAATTGGAACGTGCATTTGTGAAATAATTAACCATTGGATTGGGGATCATATATTAAAGCAATAGTAAGGGAAATTATTGTAAAACAAAATACATAGATATGAGAGAACCTCCTCTGATATTTTTACTGTAAACAAAATTAGTTGAGTTATGTGTATAGATCCACTGTAAACCACAACCACTTGATTAAAGGAAAACCTCCTCTGATATTTTTACTTGGCCTTGTATGCCCTTGTAAACCAAATAAATGACAAAAAATATTTAAATGATATTTAAATGTGCCTTATTTTTAAAAACCTCTCTCTCCACCTCATAATTATGTTATGCTAAAATGACTTTTTAGAAAAATAAGTATTTAACCAGTTCTTGAGTGTACATAGAGTTATTGAAATAAAAAAATAGAGAAAATAGTATTGACCACACTATTTGGAAAGAATTATGTTTTCCTTACTATAAATAATTTGTATGGGGATATGTGATTATTCCTTTCTTTTGCATACCTTATTGGTAATAGCTGATTGCATTTTAGTTGAATTAAAACATGTCAAATTTAATACTTATAGTAAACTTAGAACTAGTTTTTAAATTATGGTGAGTTTAGGTTGTCCTCAAGGATGATAGTCAAACATATTATTAAATTATGTTACCAAATACTTATTAAATTAAAATGGCAAAAGAAATTATGAGACTTGATAGAGTAAAAGTAAATGAAAGACAAATAAACGTAGTTCTTCTCTGTCAAGTGTGTCACCCACTTGTCATGCAAGGATTTGGAAACAAACAAAGAAAGAAATGAAAAACTAAAAACAGGGGAAAACGGCATCATCTCCTGATGGGATCAATAAAATAATAAAAATGTGGAAATAATCTTCTTCAGATTCCTATGTCACTCAAAAATATAAAGAAGGATAATGGAGTAAAGTAAAGCTGTAAAAGAAATGATCAGGACTGAAATAAAATCTCATTTAGATCCCTATGTCACTTAAAGACTTGAGGAAAACAAGTGTGAAATTAAATCTTAGAAAAATAGTAAAAATAAATCCTAATCTATAGCATTCTCACCCCCTCTCCATTTGCCAAATATGTGAAAATTAAGTCTTGGTGGGATTTATTTTTAAAAAATCATGTATACAGTAAAATGAGAACAAGAAATTAGTATACTTATATGTTGCAAGTTTATGAATGGTAAGATCAGAATTAAACTGCACTGAAGCTGAAGGTCGGCAAACGATGATTTAAATCACGACACGACAGACGTTCTCATTTATTTCCAACAACTCTTGACAACAAAGAGCACACCCCAGATCTGTCCGAGGTACTTCTCCTAGTCGTCCTAGCTCAACTCAGTAGCACTCGTAGAGCTTGATGTCGAGGCGTAGGCGGAAGTAGACGACGCCCTCGGTGGCGTCGGTCATGAGGGTAGCAATACCTCGAGTCATGAAGAAATCTCCGGTCCCGCCGACCACCGATATGTCTCTAGTCAGATTCATGAGAGGGTCGGCGCCCACCAGGTTTATGGTTCCCTTGTAGTCGGTGGAGTTGAGCACCAGGCTGAAGGCGAACCATGCCGTGAAGATGGTCTTGCTGTCGTACAGGTAGAGGCCCTGAGCGCGGCCAACGGGCGGGGAGTGGAGGTTGTTGTCCAGCGTCACGGGATCGTCGAACACGACGATGTCGCCGAACAGCGTCATGGGGGTGAGGATGGTGCGGTTGGCCCACGGCGCCGCCGTCACGGTGGCCGACGTCGCGTTGGCGGCGTTCTTGCCGTTGTAGATGATGTCGTGGAAGAAGAGCACCAGGGACTTGCACGGCTGGATTCTCCTGACACTCTTGGTCGAAATGGCGGGGGAGGTGAGGAGCAATGCCAGGAAGAAGAATAAGGCTGGGAATCGGCTATGGAGGTAACCCCGCTCCATTCTCTATGGGAGAAGCGAAGGGAAGAGAGATGTTGGGCTCCTCTTCCACTGAGAGAGTGGCGACTCCGGTTTTTGAGAAGAGATGCTCTGAAGTGCCACCGAACTTATAGTAGCCTCCCAAATGTTTTGAAGCTCTCTCCGTCTTCTTCCTTTCCATGCTCTCGCTAGATCTCACATACTGCCTCCACTTCAACCATCCACCACGTGGCAGAGAGACTGGTGGGGAATACATGTGCAGTGGCCTTCTTCCGTCTTCTTCCTTTCCGTGGTTTGGGTTTTTCTCACCTACTACCTGTACTTCACGTGGCAGAGAGATTGAGAGGGTTGGGCTTTCTTAGCAGCCTAGACCAACCTCCTTCCCTCTCTCCCACTCAGCCGACCTGCGAAGGAACGACGTTCTCTCAAATGCGATCGCACCAACCACCCGACGGGAAAAGAAGCTCTCGGTCTCAACACTTTCCCCACGTAGAAGGCTTAGCAGTTGAACTGAGATGGCGAAGTCGGTAATTCTTTACACCCTCACGCCGAGTCTTCCAAGAATAGCGGTCGTGGTCATGCATTTGGATCTGTAGTGTGCCGGGGCAGGTGACTGGTGGGTCGACCGTAACAAGCAAAGCTATTGAGGAAAACTCGAGGCGGCCAGACAGTGGTCCAGAGCCAGTGGACGGATTGAATATTTCATTCCAATAATTTCCCCAAGCTTAAGCCGCGACTTGAGAAAAGCTGCGTTCGCGAATCATAATGACATCGCGGTGGATCCGTCGCGGAGAATCTGTCCGTTCACGGGAATCTATCAACGAGTGGGTTAGCATGGAACTCGAATGACTTTTGATAAAAGCGGATCTTTCCTGCCCTCTCTCGACATTTTTGCCGCACAGGTCGCTGTTATCCGCTACCTGCTTTCAAGCCTACCTGCTACAAGATCTTGTCCAATCAGTCTCAATAGATATCAGAAGGCCCGGCTAAATGGGACAAGGATCTCGGAGGGATTAATCCGACAAAGTCAAAGGCTGCTTCGCCATCGTTGGAACCACCAGAGACATGGCCCATGGTATCACGCCAGCCTCTCAAGGATTCCGGTAGACGGTGCCAAAACAGTCTAGTGAGCCACCATCGTTGAAGATCCGGGTTGCGCTAGGTCCACCATCCCTGTCTCTGTAAGCGAGTGGATGTCATAGTCAACCACTCCTCGCAATAATTCTCACGTCGGGTCAACGCGAGTAGCTACGGGATTGAGGAGTTGCTACCATAAAATTCAATGAGGTTCCTTCTCTGCTGCGGAAGCTGCATTAGAGTGGGTGCTTGGTGCGGTGTGAGAGGTGGACGGCACAACAGTCGCCCATTTGATGAATCCGGATCATCCGGAAATCTTAATTCGGTAGAACCGCTCATTTGAAAATAAACGCGAGGGCAAAAGTAGATGTGGGAAAAATAATTATAATCAAGTGATGGTTGTTGCCCACTTTCCTACTTTAGTTCGGTCTCTGATGTCCTATATTGTTCAGGTTGTCGGAAGCTTTCCTAATTTCGTTAGTTTTCCTTTCTTGAGAGGCCCGGGTGATTGTATGAATCCAGCTATTTGTTGATCTATAAACTGATAAGAAGGCAACTTAATATTTAGATATTAAGGGAAAAAATGAGTAAGTATGGGAAAATAATTCACGAGCTAGCTTAATATTCTTTAAAAAGCTGATTTTGAAAGAATGGCCCAATTATGTTCGGTTTGTTTGGTAGACCTAGACTCACTCGTCCGTGTCTATCTGGTGCTACAGCGACCTGGTCGGCGTCGTTTAGTTACGGGCTATTGGTAAGCTGGCAGGCCTGGCAAGTCAAAGACAGGGCCTGGAGGGATCTCCAGGTCCAAGATTCCGCCGCCATCAGCTTTGGAACCGACGCCTCTGATGGTGTCTATCCAGAGCTGGTGCGGTCTAGGGCCAGTCAGCCTTATTTAGGGTTCGTTGGCTCTGGCTGGCACCACGTTTTACGAACTTTTTTCTTCATCGACGGGTAGATGTCGCTTCGTCGGTTAGAAGCCTCGGGGGCCCTGACAGTCGTCCAGACGCCTGGCGTTGCTCTGCCGCTGGTGCTCATCGTTTAGCTGTAATGGAACACAGACTCCGTCAGGGGGTCGAACCCGCCGTGGGATATGCTGCGCCGTCGAGTCGGCGTCATCCTCTGCCTCTCCGTGGCCCGCTGCAAGGGCCTCGGCTTTTCGTCGTTACTGCCTTGCGATGCATCGTTTACGAGTGTGTTGAGACCAGCCCTCCGCAGCACGAAGTGGGTCTCCCACCGCCCCCGTGGTGGAGCTCCCGCCGGCGGCGTGAGTGCCCACCACGCGTTCCAGAGCGGAAGAGAGAACAGATCACCATGCGTTCCAGAAGGGCAGAGAGAACAGATCACTACGCATTCCAGAGCGGCTGCGGCGGCGGGGGGAGAGCTGGCCTTCTCGGTGGCGAAGAGGGTGGCGGCACCTGCGGCCTGCGGCCGAAATGACGTCAGAAAAAAGGGGAGGGGGACGCGGGAGGGACTCTTCATTTGAGAAAAGGAGCGGCGTTAGAAAGCAGGGGAATGAAGATGGAGAAGTACGACTCCTCCGTCCTCTCTCATTCCTCACCTTCAGGGGCTCCGCTCCCCTCTTCGGCCTCTCCCGGCAGCCGCCTGGTCTGGTCGAGTGCAAAGAAACACAGATGGGGTAGAGTTAGGCGATGCCTCGTTTCAGCTCGGGGAGAGAGACCCCTTTCGCTACTTTGACTGAATTGAGAGGTTGCAGAAGGTGGGTGAAGATGAAGTAATTACTTGACTACTTCCATTTTTGGTCACCGACATTGCCTACTCCCGTTTCCCTCTCCTGACATCTCGCTCTCTCTCTCTCTCTCACTCTCGCTCTCTTTCATTCTCTCTTCCTCTTCCCTTCCCTCTCTCTAAGTATGATCCGCTGAAGTGAACTTTTCATAAAATACGTATTTAGCTATCTCGTGAATGTGCACAGATTTCGTGAAATCACAAAAAATTAAAAAATATTCTTAAACACACGGTCTTTAAAGAAATGTGTTTGCTTTGCATAATTAGGACTTTCTTATAATGATCTATTATTAATTTTTTATTTCTGTATACCTTATTTATCATTAACAGCACTGCTAGATCTTATGCTTTAAAATATTGTGTGTGGTCATTCATAATTCGTTTCTGGAGTAGAGCTGCAGGGCATAGCACGACTTTTACGTCAGGGCATTGTGAAGCTGATAACTGGCAATGGTAACGAAGATGATTAGATCACATTTTCCTACTGGGCTGGAGCCCTTTCTTTCGGTGGTTTGATGTCTATGGCGGGGTCACCTGTCACGTGCCTGCAATGCGCCTTCGTGCTCTCGCTGTCGGTATCCGTCAAAATCGTTAACGTCCTTTACTTCGCACTAGGTAGTTGTGAGGGGCACCATTGTTTCCATCTGTGGTCTGCTCCTAGCAGCCATTTTACTGCAGCACACCCCCCGCTGAACTATGGTGTCAGCATTGCCCGGACTGGCTACCAGGAAAGTGGAAGCTGAATGGTTTCCATTTTGCCAGGAAAGATAGCCCCCGGGGATCGGATCCGAACTACGTGTGATATACAAACTTTCTCTGTTTGCCTATGTTTGCTTCAATGATCTGAAGCTCTGCTTGTGGAGCGGAAGCGAAAGATTGCCGATGGGTCCTTCCAAGACCCCATTCAGGAATCTAGAAGGTACATCGTCGTTCAGCCTGCCCTCTGGCCTTCTTCTGCTGTGCTTGGGGCGGAGGCTTCTCTGCATGTGTGGTTTTTCTATGGGGTTGTGACTTTGATTGGCCGTCTCGTATGGTGATGCACCTTTCCCTTTCTTTCTTCAACTCCTTAATGCTTGGGTCATCCCATACTAGTACTACTATTACTACTACAGAGCAGGAGGAAGAAATCTCTGGACTATCACATGTTGGTGACTTCCCTGTTGTCTGCGGCAGAGCTGTTTGGAGCCGGGTTCTTCACTAAATCTGCGGCCTTTCTTCATCTCACTTCCACAATGGATCAGAGCGGCTGCCAGCACTGAGGAAGCTTATCATAAGCGTATTCTTATGCTTTACTTGATAAATGGTGCAAGACGGACTTCAGTCCAATACCATCCCTTAGAAAAATAAAATTTTTAAAAAACTTTTTCGGGCGTTGCTTTTCAAGACAGTATTTTCGGGTCGATTTGGCGAGGCGAGCCCACATCGTCGTCACTCTTCCCATTTGAGAGGAGGATCTTGTCCAGACATTTCTTCCGAGATTCTTGGGCGTATTTGGTGTTCTGCTCTTCTTAAAGCATTACTAAACCGCATATTGATCCGGCAGAACAAAGCGTCGTCAGTCTATCCCTAGTAAAAATGGGAGGGACCCCTAGGCCGCTGCGGGCGGTCGGGGCGGCCGCCGGATTCTTGGTTGGGGGTTTCCTTGCGGTGACCTTGGGAACTGTGGCAACCTACGAGGCTGTGCGGAAACGCGACGAAGCGAGACGGGTAATCTGCCGCTTCCTCTCTCGTCGCCCTGCTTTTGTTTTCCTCCTGGATGTTTACTGGGCTCTTCTTTGTCTTCGTTTCCTGGTATTCTGGAGAGGAAGTCGGCGCCGCCTTGCGGAGTCTGCAAAGGGAAGGGCTTCCAAGCCTGCAAGCTGTGCCGAGGGAGTTCCACCGTAGAGTGGTCTCCTCTGTACGACCCCATCGCCATCAGCCCTTGCCTCTGCCCCACATGCGACGGGAGAAAGTAAGTGAAATAAAACGCTCGCCGCGATTCAAATTTTGGGCTAACATGGGTGCCGGTGGTGGAAGCTGACGCACCTAAGATTTGTTTCTTGATGCTCGTTCATTTCTCTCGATTGGTCTTGAGCAAAGTGCGGCCCGGCATGCAAAAGACTGATGCACAGCATGAGATCTCTCATTGCTATCCATTTTGTGTTTGGGATTGTCAATACCGATATCAACTCAAAATCTGAACAAAACAATGCGGCATCATGCAGTACTTAAGGATTGAAATCAAATTCAGTGATATGAAATTGGCTTCCTTTCGTCTGAACTGTAGGGCCTCAGAGATCAAGTTAGCTTCTGGTAGCCAGCAGACGTTGCTTCCATTTTGTTTTATGAATAACTGGTTGATATCAAACTATTACGACGTTTGAATTCATGTTATTCATCCACATTCATAACGTGTATCATACTCTGCTGATGTTCTCTGACCAGTTCTACTCTGCGTTCTATATTGCAGAATCCAGCGATGCCTGAATTGTATTGGGAAGGGCTATTTCTGATGCTCGTTCTATAGTGATGCCCTTCTAGCGTGCTGAAACTTCTGAATTCAAAAATATTATTCAGAGTGTTCCAAGAGTAGATTTCAAAAATCGTTAATGCATTTCCTTTTTTTAATTTATAAACACTGACACAGTAGAAGTAAGCATGTACTTTTCTTTCTGTGGCAACTGTAATGTCCCTCATCTCGTACACAAGCCTATAATGACCAAATTATTTTTTTTTCCTTTTTAACTCCTGAGGAATTCACTTAGAAACTGTTTCAATTGTCCCAAATTGGAACGATATTTGAAAACTCTATGGTTAAATGGATAGTAGGCTCACACCTCTGAAAGTTGGTTTTGGCTTGGATGGTTGAGTACTTATAGTCTTGGTGCAATTTCTCGGTCCCTTGATTCTATACCCCTTAATGAAGCTCAGAAAACTTCATGCCATCGGCACAGCTTAGACTTGGATACCTTCACATTGTAGCTTTGGCCTAGCTAATAGTTGAACCAGTGGGTCATCTTTCTTCTCGTTTATTTTCTTTTACTTTCATCCAATAGATTGGTCTTTCGTGAGACATGTTTTGTGACTTCCAGGCTCCTTTCCTCTAGCTTCTATAGAAGAATAGCCTGTCTGCATTACGCCCTGTGCAACCATTGGAGTCATTGAATAAAGCTTATGGCGCAATATATGAATTGTCCCCTCTGAAGAAGAAATCCTGCAAGTTTATCTTCTGTATTATTGATGTATCCAAACTGTAATGTTCCCAAAGACTAAGTGACGTGGTGGACGTTGCGGAAATAGAACTTCAGGCCATGCATCCACAAGGCACGAATTTCCGGATCCTTGAATCTACATGGATTGATTAGAAGGATCATTGAATCTACAAGGATCAGGAAGCACCTCTTGAATCCACAATGGTTGATTTGTATGATGTTTGAATCCATGAGGATGAAACTAACGTACTTTGAATCCCTGAGGGTTGTTTGAATCCATAATCCAAAAAGAAATATCTCAACAAGAACAAAAAATTTGTGATAATCAAGATGTTCTTAGGGTTACAACTTGCTGACTTGTAAATAGGCAGAAAATCAATTGTGGCATCCCTAAAACTCAGATCAATTTGGAAAGTAAATTAAAAATGGCCTAAAAAAATATAATTACTAAAACTAAGTCTCTGGGACATTATTCACGTGATTTCTTTTATTTGAGCCTAATCTGATTTTTCTACCTTCAAGAATTGCAGTCCATGTTTTCATATTTTTCTAGCCACCTAGGTCAAAAACTTTTCATCCTTGTCTTTTTTTAAAAAATGATGTGTAGCACCAACGTCTCTTGCTCGAAAAACACTCACCCTCTAGTCTTCACTCGCAACACTGAGGTATGAAGATATGGCCATGTTGAACTTTTCCAATTCGTTTGAACTTACTATATGTTGGAAATTCTAGGTCGTAAGAAAATTCTGTAAAAGATTGTGTATGGTTCCTCCCTATATAATTGGGGTTAGAGGTGAATGAATCTTGAGGCGGTTTCTCTCCCGTTTGTCCTCCGTGACAGAGGTTGTTCTCCGATTTCAACATAGTGTTCTCTCTTTTTCCAACTCTATAACTTCCATTTGAAAAATCAAGAATTAAAAAAAATTATATGTTACTGCTCAAATTTTATGACAAATTAAAAAAATCAATACCGAAAAAATGAAAAATAAGAAAACATATTGTGATAAACAAATATGCTACAAATAACAAATATACGTTCACTAATTTGATTTTTTTCTATATAATCTAAAAGGAATTTCAAGCATATTCTTCAACTTTACGCTATGTACTATGTGGCTGAATTATATTAGATGAATGTAATAGATTTTGATCTGATGTTCTGGACTCTTGAAGTCAGACACTCCCCCGTTGACATTTGCAGGAAGGTTGTGAAGGGGTTGTTTTATCACTGTATGAGTCGCATCTGACGAGTCGGTTACCATTTCCTCTGGGTTCCTGGAAGCAGAATGACCCCCAGGAGCCCTCAAAGCTAATGGGGATCTCACGTCCGTCAACCGCACGCTTTCGTCCATGCGAGCCCATCAGATACGGGAGGCAGTCAGCGCAGCCTGATCCGACAGGCCCACGATGGAAAGTGCACCTAAGAAATTACCAACTGTGCCTGTTAATACAACAAAGACATCTTCACGAAAGTCTACTCTAACACCCAAGAATCACGAAAACTGATAATTTTTCACATTTAACTTCCAAACCAGAAATAGAAAGAAGGCGCGACAGTGAGAAAAGAACAAGCAAGCTTTCATCGTCTTCTATCGTCGGGAGGTAGGGAACACGCATAAGACCTGGGTATTCCCTAGAAACGTAAGACGAGGAAGGAGAAGCAAATATCAAAATATTCACATGACGAAGAATAAAAGACGAGATCGGCCCCATCTACACCGTCGATCACTCATGGAGACTTGAGACACCTTTCCCACTCCTTCCCCAAAACCACAAAAGAGCGAGACCATAAGTGAAGACCCTTGTCGACTCTTTACAGATCTTTGCTTTGATTATGAAACCCCGCGAAGCACGCACAGAAAGAACGAAATCGATCTTCCCCAACACATCATAACCCACAAAGAAAAAGTGTACCGTAATTATCAGAAATTCCAGAATCATGCAGCAGTTTCTGTATCGGTTATCAGGTTTGAGTTCGTATAAATCCTAAGATAAAAACCTACGAGTGATGACGATCTAGGTTTTTTCTATGTGAAATTCCCCTTTTTTCCTCCTCTCCTCTCCTCCCATTCTCTCCCAAATATCCATCTTTTCTCCCATAAAATCATCCTCACTTTCCTACACTTTTGTCATCCAGTTTATTGCCAAATGAGTGGTTCTACTGAATTAAGATTCCAGAGGATCTGAACTCATCAAATGATCGACTGTGGTGTGGTCCACCTCTCGCACCGCACCAAGCACCTAGTATCATGCAGCTTTCGCAGCAGACAAGGAACCCCGGGTAAGCATGTGAATCAATATCGCCCTCATTGAAATTTCTGCTTGGGACTCGTCAACTCCATTTAGCTACTCGCGTTGAACCGACGTGACAGTTCTTGCGGGCAGTGCTTGAGTATGACCTCGACTCGCTTATAGAGACAGGGATCGTGGACCTAGCACCGACCCGGATCTTTGACGATGGTGGCCTACTAGACTGGTGTGGCACCGTCTACCGGAATACTTGAGAGGCTGGGAGGTGGGAGGTGGGAGGTGGGACCAGAGACGTTATGCTTGCCACGTTAGCTCTTCTCTGCTCTTTTCCATATGTTCAGAATCCGACGAATATAGCTAATTATACATGAAATAGGCCAATCGATGCAAAAGATAGTGATATTCTGCAAATTTCTGGATAGGAATATGTCGGTTTTATCCTTATGTGATAATTTATATTATTATTTTATGAAGAAATATCAAAACCAGGTGGTACAGAGCTATCCAAAGAAAAACCCAATTTAATATTTATCTGCAAGACGAATTTTGCTTCTTCTCAATCATCAATAATAATCATCTTTGCCATCATTTAATAATCCGTGGTTGTTACCGCTGGGTGAAGTTACTGCTGTCATCAATGGCAAAAGTTCGCCCTGGTTCACACGGTTTGTTTTTGGGTTTGATGCGATTTCGGCGAGCTTGCACGGAACCTCGCTGATGAGGAATTGAATTGATTTTTACTTTTTTCATTTGATTAAATATATAATATATATTTATTTTATTTGTAAATACCTTAATTATATCTCTACATTAAATAAATATATTAAGCATACTATGATAAGTATGCTTAATATATTTATTTCTCCGTTTCTGTATATCGTCGCCGTCTCCCTCCGGCGCTGGCACTGCCTCGAGCCCAGCCTTGAGTCGCGGTCGCAACGCCCGATTTAGGCTTTCGACAGCGAGCCCCTCAAGGTGACCAGTTATTGGGCCCCACCCACCTGACCTGACCCAGCCCACCTGTTCCGCCCAGCCCAACTCAGCGGGTTGTCCCACATCAATTCATTTCATATAAATCATTAAAGTTCAGAAAATTAAATACATATTCATCACATTACTCTCAAATGAGTAATAATGTTTTTAACTTAAATAATTCATACCTTATGTTAATTCATGCAGCAAATACTTTGATTTAAATTCAATTATTACGTAAAAATAAAATATTATGATAGGAATAATTTGAAAAATAGTAATTCATCCTTTCCATTGAATTTCAGTTAAATATTTTGAAAATTGGTAATTGCTATGAGAGCCAAATTGTTTCAAATGAACTAATCATTGAGGACTAGATCCTATATAGCTAACAATTTATGAATTAGTTTACACAACAACATTTGTCTCATAACCACTTCTATTCAAGTGCTTTTATTGGAGAACTCATATAAGACCTGATGATAAGCCGTTGACATCAATGTTATCAAAAAATTAAAAATACCTATTATGTCAAGAACTTATCTAGCCTAGATGTAATACTCTCAAGTCTCCACAAAAATCAAGAACTCTATGTTTTTAGAGTTCCGTTCTACATTAATACTTGTTAAGGAATACCATTAATATTTTTATTTCTCACAAATCAAGGCTTGAACATATTTCATCAATCAACATAGAAAGACCTGCTAAATGTCAAACCAAGAAAACTCTATCTAGATTAAACATAAAATTATATTCTCCATGTTTACTAGGCCACCATCTTGAGTCAAGATTTTGTAGTTAAATGACTCTAATTTAAGTATCACCTAATGTGTGGAAGTGCAAAATTCTAGAAATCAATAGTTTCCTTAGTAGCCACTTACCATATGACTTCCCATAGACACTTTTTTTACATCATATGAACCATGTCATAGGGGTAGAGAAGTCTTCACAGCAGATGGTAACTTCATTCCAATAGAATAGGGTATAATTTACCAAATCTTATGAGTTCCCCTCATACTGGCTAACTTGATTTCGCTTAGTTAACTTAGATTCTCTTTGGACTGTGACTTGTTAATAACACTAAACAGATGTATTTGTATACAAGGACATAGAATGAAGGACTAAACTTGCTGAAGAACATTAAGGCCTTTATTATATAGAGGAACTTGATGGCACTAAGGGTAAGCACCAATGGGTAGTAAAGGTAGTGGAAACTACATTAATAATGGAGTCATTGAGCGAACAAGCAACGTAAGGAAAACTCATTATGCTTCATTGATGCCTAGGACATCCATTGATTATGACACTTAAAAATTTGTTTCCAAACTTGTGTATTGATCTTAAGGATGACTTGTTTGTATGCGACGCTTGTCAATTAGTCAAGCATAAATGCTCTAGTTATTTTTCTTAAAAATCAAGATGTTCTAAACTTTTTGATTTAATTTACAGTGATGTGTGGGAACCATCTTAAGTAAGAACTACCTCTAGATGTTGATGGTTGATTAGTCTTCATTATCATGAGTTAATAATTAGTAAATAATATAGTTTTAGCCTTGACTCATGATAAATAGATTTATATTTATGTTAAAGTGTGAAAAGTGCTTTTTAATTGATTAATATGAAATTTTGGCTAATTATGTAATTTTCTATAAATTTATATGTTTTTTATAGTCTTATTTTTGAGATAAATAAAGAAAAATAAATTAAAATAAAAATATAGCAAAATAGGGGGTACCCACCGACCAATCGGGGAGGAGCCGCGAGTAGGGGTTTGAGAATCTAGGACCAATGAAGGCAAGTGTGTGCCACTCTCCTTCCACGTCACTAGTAGCCAACCGATTGTGGGCAAGGAGTGGTCATACACGTGGGAGAAGAAACTTACTTGCAAATGTAATATTACTACATATTCGTCTGAAACTTCAGTGCACAAGTGATGTGGGACTAAACCCTTGTCACACTTTTCCCTGAAAAGGTTCGATGATTTTAATATCTACAATATCCCTTATTTATAATAGAGATATACTATAATGATGTCATTTGATAAGGGCATTAGAGTACTTATTTCAATCTCTCTCATGTAGGCGGACAATCGATGTGGATCTGAATCTTCCTAGAGTCAAAACTCATATTTTTTATCTAATTATTGCGACTTTCCTATGGATCACTGGTGAAATATTAAGCTGCCAGAATCGCTAAATCATCAACAAAAATCTCGTCGACGCGATTCACAGAGTATTGTTACTAAAATTACTGAACGATTCGTGATAAAAGGATCACAAATCTATCAAGTAAAAGATCTCTAATTGATCAATGAACAAGCTGTTGTCAAGAAGAAGACAATCCACTAGGAGATGAGTTGTTACCTCCTAAGAGTGTACTAGATGCAATGAAGAGCCTCCTCTTGCTGCGTGGACTTGAGGATGAAGCTCCCTAACATGCGCCCCACCTCCATCTAGCTCCTCTCCATCAGGTGACAACCGTTAGAGAGCCACAAAGTCGTCATTTTTCCGTTCCGTCAGGTGACAATTGCTGGAGATGATTTGACAACCCATTTCATTGATCTCTAGACTTTGCAAAGAGATCTAGAGACTGCTCACGTCGTCCTTGTCCAAAGAAAGATTTCGAGGCCGTGGACACTACACAATGATCTTTTCGAATGCTCAAGATCAAAAGTTGGTGGGCACCCTGATAAGTCTTCATTATCATGAGTTAATAATTAATAAATAATATAGTTTTAACCTTAACTCATGATAAATAGACTTATATTTGTGTTAAAGAATGATTTTTTGTTTTCAATTGATTAACGTGAATTTTTGGGTAATTATGTGATTTTATACAATTTTTACAGTCTTACTTTTGAGATAAATCAAGAACAAGAAATAAAAATAAAAATATTGCAAAAATGGGGGGACCCGCCGGCCAGCCGTGCCCGCAAGCAGGTCGGAAGCGTAGTCGGGGAGTAGTCGCGAGCAGGGGCTCGAGCGGCTTGGCTTGGGGACCGACTGGCACGCGTACGCCATTCTCCTTCCACGTCACCGGTGGCCAGCCGGCTGTGGGGCAAGGAGTGGTCATACACGCGAGAGAAGGGACTAACCCCCGTCACACCTTCCTCAAAAGAGGCGGGCGACTAGCGCGGGTTCGAATCCTTCTAGAGTCAAAATTCATATATTTTTATTTGATTATCGTGACTTTCCTGCAGATCGCTGGGGAAGGATTAAGCAATGAGAATCGCTGGATCATCGGCGAAAATCTCATCAACACGATTCGCAAAGCATTGCTACTAAAATTGCTGAACGATTCACGATAAAAGGATCGCGAATCTATCGAGTAAATCATCTCCGATTGATCGACGAACAAGCCGTCGTCGGGAAGAGGACAATCCGCCCGGAGACCAGTCGCCACCTCCTGAGAGCGTACCAGATGCGATGAAGAGCCTCCTCTTGCTGCGCGGACCTGAGGATGAAGCTCCTTAACACGCGCCCCACCTCCATCCAGCGCCTCTCCGTCAGGTGACAGCCGCCGGAGAGTCGCAAAGTCGCCGTTTTTCCGCTCCGCTAGGTGACAGCCGTCGGAGACGATTCGACGACTCACTTCATTGATCTCTAGACTTCGCAAGAAGATCTAGAGATTGCCCACGTCGTCTTTGTCCAAGGAGAGCCTTCGAGGCCGTAGACACTACACGACGATCCTCCCAAACGCTCAAGATTCCAGTGCATCGCCGACGCATCGCCATCGCGATGCCGGAACTCTATTTTCCTACTTTCAATTTAATTTACGCTTCATTTAGTGATACTTTGTGTGATTTTAATTTACCAAACTATATTTCGTTCAATTATGATTCTTCTGGCTTTTACAGATCTTAATTTGATTAATTAAGTCATCTGTAATCGCTTACGTAAGAATCACCAGGCGGAACTCTGTTTTCGCTGTTCGCTGGGAGCTGACATCATCCTGACGTCTGCACCCTTATTTCCTTTTTTTCGTGAATTTTAAATATATTTTCTTTTTATTTCCTAGTATAAAATTCATAAGAAAATCGTATTCATTGAGAAAAATTCTGAATAATTACCAGATATTATATTACATCTCTGTGATCGACCTGGAAAATTACCACTATTTTTGGAATTTTTATTGAATTATAATTGATATATTTATTTAGAAATACTTCTAAATATCCAAAAATTCGTATTTTCTAGTTTTATAAATTTTATATTTGCGTGATTTATTATACAACGACTGAGTCACGTCAAATTTTGGCGCCGTTGCTGGGGATGTATTGCATAATATTTAGTATTTTTCTGTTTTTCTCTTAGAGTACACAAAAAAAAACTTTACTCTTGTTTTATTTTCTTTTTGCTGATTTTTATTAGAAAAAGGGAACGAAAGAAGCACTGCAAGGACTAGAGCATCCTGAAGGAGGGTAGTAGTTACTAACTTTTTCCCTCGAATTTATTGATTTTTATGCATGGTAGAAGATCCTTGCATCCAAGGCTAGAAAATCCTTTCATTATTTCATTCAAAAATAAAAATCCGAAAGAAAAATTAATTTTGATGGATCTTGAAGGAAGTACAGGTCAAGCTGAGAACAATCCTATGGCCATGAAAAATCATTATATCCCTGATTCATTTCAAAGAGCATCTAATATTAGAGTCCCATTAGCACCCACTATTAAATTCAAAATAAATCTAAGAATTTTTCAAATGCTCCCTAATTTTCATGGATTGCCTTTAGAGGAACCTCATCAGCACTTAGAAAAATTTCATATGGTCTGTGATTTAGTTAATCTCCCTCAAGTTATACCGTAAATTATTAAGATGAAATTATTCCCTCATACACTTAGGGACAAAGCTAGTCATTGGCTATCCACATTAGATAGAGAATTAACTAGCTGGAAAGATATAGAACAGGCCTTTCTTTGAAAATTTTATCCCTTAGGAAAAACTCAAAATATGAGAAAACATATATGGAGTTTTTCTCAAAGACCAGGAGAAACTTTGCATGAGACATGGGAAGTTTCAAAGATTTACTTAGAAAGTGTCCTCATCATGCTGTACCCAAGTGGCAGCTCAATAGAATTTTTTATGATGGATTATTAGAACAACATAGAAATATGGTTGATTTTATATGTGGAGTAGCTTTTATGGAGAAAACTCCTGATGAGATTTACAATCTTTATGAGAATTTAAGTGAAAATTCTAGAGATCAAGCCTCTTTTGAATTATATGACAGGGATAAGAAGAGAGGAATTTATGAATTGCATCATGAGGATGATTCTAAACTTAGAAATGAGGTTAATCAAATTAATCAAAGATTAAAAAAATTGATTTACTTATTGATAATATTAGAAAGCCATTTAACCCTCAACTTAATTCGAATAGTACATGTCCTATGTATGGTGAAAATGATTATTCTGAATTTCAATGTTATAATTTAGATCAATCATTTCACCCTATGCGAGAACAAGTGCAAGTAGCTCACGGTTTTAATAGAAATAGGGAACATTTTTCAAATTCTTATAATCCTAATTGGAGGAATAATTTTTCATGGAGAGACTCAAATAATATTCAAAATCCAGAAGCACTTAGACCCAATTCAAACTCTGAATTTCATCTAAAACAAAAAAATAGATTTCAGAAAAATCAGCCCTCTCAAACCCAACCTGATGCTATGGAAATGATGCAGCAAATGAGCCAAATGATGCAACAAACTATGAATCAAATGATGCTTCATCAGAAACAAATTATAGAGGCTCTTGAGAATAAGAGAGAAGAGGGACAGCTACCTAGTCAGCCCATAGAAAATTCAGAAAACTGTCCAACAGTAAGATTTCAGCAAGAAGAGTCTAGCTGGATAAATTTAGAAAAAAACCCACGAAATGAAAATGTTAGGACAGTGAATATATTGAGTGAGAATATTTTACCTGATCCTTATTTCCAATTATTAGAAGAAATTGATGATCCATTAGAAGTAAATGAGAATATTAAGGCCAAAAATGTAGTAGCAGAAAATTTGAATAAAATCATTTATTGCTCACAATTGATGAATGAATATAGTGAGGATGATGAGGAGAAAGAACCCTTAGATGAAGAAACAGCAACTGATCATAGAAAAATCATCCAAATTTTAGTAGAAGGGAGTAAGGACAGAAATGAAGAAAAATATATTTCAGGTGAGGAAAAATCAATTGATTTGGGAGATGTAGGAGACGAAATTAATGAATCTAATCATAATTTTGCAGCCATGGATGTTGATTGTGAGGATGATGATGTATATCATATACCAAAATTAAAAGATAGCTCTTGGGAAGATGAAGAATTTGATGAGTTGAGAAACGAAAAGCTAGAAAAAGAATTGATTCAACTAATGGGAACAAGCGAAAATAATAGATGTGAATATAGAAATAATTTTGGAGGAGAAAATTTGAATTTTACTGAATTCATTAGATCTGAGATTAAAGAAGACAATCCTTCCATCCTTCAAAACCCACAGCCCATTAGAATTATTTCTAAGCTTGAAATATTTCACTCCTCACAAATCGAACAAATATGTATGGAAGATAAAATGGAGCAGGGGAAGATTATGCAGATAAAAGAAGACATTAAGAAATGGGTGAGTGGAAGAATTAGAGATACCAATTTAGATGAAAAAATTTTAGATTGGGCAAGAGCTAATCTGAAAATTATACGGCCTGATCACATTTTATGGTTTATTAATAGAAAGTATTTATTAATGAATGAGAGCCTAACAAAACAAGATAGAAATAAGGAAAGATTCTTTTCAAAATGGAAATATTATTTTTGGGAAAATTTTGTTAATTTCCATTTTGTTTTGGCTGAAAGTATGTCAAGGTATATATATGAAGTATATGAATTTATGCTAAATCTGAAAAAGAATATCATGAAACTTACCTTGGGATACAAATATATTTTGATGGCCATAGATCATATTATATGATATAAGAGCTGTCCAGCCGGAGACATTAAATTCAGCGCTGCATGGGAGGCAACCCATGGTTTTTATTTCATCCTGTTTGATTTTTTTTAAGCTTTGTTTTTCTTAGAATTTCGCAGTACTTGTTTCTATATTTGTTTTTCTTTCGAAAAAGTGCAGCAAGAGTGTAAGATGAAGTGAAAAATTAAAAACAAGGTTGAGGTGATGTCTTTTAGAGCTTCATCATTTATGAAAATATTTTTAATGCTTAACTTTGTAGATATGCATGCTTCACTTGAAAATTATATTTTCTGCATATTCTATTTCGAGTTTTCTATGTCATTGAAGACAATGTCATTTTTAAGTTGGGGGGTGAAGTATTCATTATTAATTTATGTTGTAGGACGATTAAGAACATGTGTTTGCATTTTATTCAACTTAGAACAGCAACTAAAAATATAAAAATAAAATAAAATTCGGAAAAATTACAACATCTATTTTCTGGTTTTCTGTCAAAAACAGCAAACTGTCAAAAACAGCAGACAAAAAACAGCCCGAAATTTGAAATTCTAGAAGACCCTTGATAAGTCTTCATTATCATGAGTTAATAATTAGTAAATAATATAGTTTTAGCCTTAACTCATGATAAATAGACTTATATTTGTGTTAAAGCATTAAAAGTGGTTTTCAGTTGATTAACGTGAATTTTTGGGTAATTATGTGATTTTATACGATTTTTACAGTCTTAGTTTTGAGATAAATGAAGAACAAGAAATAAAAATAAAAATATTGCAAAATGGGGGGATTCGCCGGCCAGCCGGGCCCGCAAGCGGGTCGGAAGCGCAGTCGGGGAGTAGCCGCGAGCAGGGGCTCGAACGGCTTGCTTGGATCGATAGGGGCACGTGTGCGCCACTCCCCTTCCACGTCACCGATGGTCAGCCGGCTGTGGGGCAAGGAGTGGTCGTACACGCGAGAGGATTTTGCCTATAAAGCTAACTTTACTATATATTCGCCCAAATAATCCGCGAACAACCGATGTGGGACTAAACCCGCGTCACACCTTGTTCAGGGGCGGGCGACCGCCGCGGGTTCGAATCCTCCCAGAGTCAAAATTCATATATTTTTAACTGATTATCGCGACTTTCCTGCAGATCGCCGGTGAAGGATTAAGCAACCGGAATCGCTGGATCATCGGCGAAAATCTCGTCAACGCGATTCGCGGAGCATTGCTACTAAAATTTCTAAACGATTCGCGATAAAAGGATCGCAATCCATCGAGAAAATCATCTCCGATTGATCGACGAACAAGCCGTCGTCGGGAAGAGGACGATCCGCCGGGAGACCAGTCGCCACCTCCTGAGAGCGTACCAGATGCGATGAAGAGCCTCCTCTTGCTGCGCGGACCTGAGGATGAAGCTCCCTAACACGCGCCTCACCTTCATCCAGCCCCTCTCCGTCGGGTGACAGCCGCCGGAGAGCCGCAAAGTCGCCATTTTTCCGCTCCGCCGGGTGACAGCCGCCGGAGACGATTCGACGACCCACTTCATTGGTCTCTAGACTTCGCGAGAAGATCTAGAGATTGCCCACGTCGTCTTTGTCCAAGGAGAGCCTTCGAGGCCGTGGACACTGCACGACGACCCTCCCGAACGCTCAGGGATTCCGGTGCATCGCCGACGCGTCGCCGTCGCGACGCCAGAACTCTGTTTTCCTGCTTTATCTAGAGATTGCCCACGTCGTCTTTGTCCAAGGAGAGCCTTCGAGGCCGTGGACACTGCACGACGATCCTCCCGAACGCTCAGGATTCCGGTGCATCGCCGACGCATCGCCGTCGCAACGCCGGAACTCTGTTTTCCTGCTTTCAATTTAATTTACGCTTCATTTAGTGATACTTTGTTGATTTTTATTTACCAAACTATACTTCGTTCAATTACGATTCTTCCGGCTTTTACAGATCTTAATTTGATTAATTGAGTCGTCTGTAATCGCCTACGTAAGAATCGCCGGGCGGAACTCTGTTTCCGCCTGATTCGCGTTCGCCGGGTGCTGACGTCATCCTGACGTCCGCACCCTTATTTCTTTTTTTTTCGTGAATTTTAAATATATTTCCTTTTTATTTCCTAGTATAAAATTCGTAAGAAAATCGTACTCATTGAGAAAAATTCTGAATAATTACCAGATATTATATTACATCCCTGTGATCGACCTGGAAAATTACCGCTATTTTTGGAATTTTTATTGAATTATAATTGATATATTTATTTAGAAATACTTCTAAATATCCGAAAATTCGTATTTTCTAGTTTTATAAATTTTATATTTGCGTGATTTAACATACAACGACTGAGTCACGTCAAATTTTGGCGCCGTTGCCGGGGATGTATTGCATAATATTTAGTATTTTTCTGTTTTTCTCTTAGAGTACACAAAAAAAAAAACTTTACTCTTGTTTTATTTTCTTTTTGCTGATTTTTATTAGAAAAAGGGAACGAAAAGAAGCACGGCAAGGACTGGAGCATCCTGAAGGAGGGTAACAGTTACTAACTTTTTCCCTCGAATTTATTGATTTTTATGCATGGTAGAAGATCCTTGCATCCAAGGCTAGAAAATCCTTTCATTATTTCATTCAAAAATAAAAATCCAAAAGAAAAATTAATTTTGATGGATCCTGAAGGAAGTACAGGTCAAACTGAGAACAATCCTATGGCCATGAAAAATCATTATATCCCTGATTCATTTCAAAGAGCATCTAATATTAGAGTCCCATTAGCACCCACTGTTAAATTCGAAATAAATCCAGGAATTTTTCAAATGCTCCCTAATTTTCATGGATTGCCTTTAGAGGAACCTCATCAGCACTTAGAAAAATTTCATATGGTCTGTGATTTAGTTAATCTCCCTCAAGTTACACCGGAAATTATTAAGATGAAATTATTCCCTCATACACTTAGGGACAAAGCTAGTCATTGGCTATCCACATTAGATAGAGAATTAACTAGCTGGAAAGATATAGAACAGGCCTTTCTTCGAAAATTTTATCCTTTAGGAAAAACTCAAAATATGAGAAAACATATATGGAGTTTTTCTCAAAGACCAGGAGAAACTTTGCATCAGACATGGGAAAAATTCAAAGATTTACTTAGAAAGTGTCCTCATCATGCTATACCCAAGTGGCAGCTCAATAGAATTTTTTATGATGGATTATTAGAACAACATAGAAATATGGTTGATTCTATATGTGGAGGAGCTTTTATGGAGAAAACTCCTGATGAGATTTACAGTCTTTATGAGAATTTAAGTGAAAATTCTAGAGATCAAGCCTCTTTTGAATTATATGACAAGGAAATGAAGAGAGAAATTTATGAATTGCATCATGATGATGATTCTAAACTTAGAAATGAGGTTAATCAGATTAATCAAAGATTAGAAAAAATTGATTTACTTATTGATAATATTAGAAAGCCTTTTAACCCTCAACTTAATTCGAATAGTACATGTCCTATGTATGGTGAAAATGATTATTCTGAACTTCAATGTTATAATTTAGATCAATCATTTCACCCTATGCAAGAACAAGTGCAAGTAGCTCACGGTTTTAATAGAAATAGGGAAAATTTTTCAAATTCTTATAATCCTAATTGGAGGAATAATTTTTCATGGAGAGACCCAAATAATATTCAAAATCCAGAAGCACTTAGACCCAATTCAAACTCTGAATTTCGTCCAAAACAAGAAAATAGATTTCAGAAAAATCAGCCCTCTCAAACCCAACCTGATGCTATGGAAATGATGCAGCAAATGAGCCAAATGATGCAACAAACTATGAATCAAATGATGCAACAAACTATGAATCAAATGATGCTTCATCAGAAACAAATTATAGAGGCTCTTGGGAATAAGAGAGAAGAGGGACAGCTACCTAGTCAGCCCATAGAAAATTCAGAAAACTGTCCAACAGTAAGATTTCAGCAAGAAGAGTCTAACTGGATAAATTTAGAAAAAAACCCACGAAATGAAAATGTTAGGACAGTGAATACATTGAGTGAGAATATTTTACCTGATCCTTATTTCCAATTATTAGAAGAAATTGATGATCCATTAGAAGTAAATGAGGATATTAAGGGCAAAAATATAGTAGCAGAAAATTTGAATAAAATCATTTATTGCTCACAATTGATGAATGAATATAGTGAGGATGATGAGGAGAAAGAACCCTTAGATGAAGAAACAGCGACTGATCATAGAAAAATCATCCAAATTTCAGTAGAAGGGAGTAAGGACAGAAATGAAGAAAAATATATTTCAGGGGAGGAAAAATCAATTGATTTGGGAGATGTAGGAGACGAAATTAATGAATCTAATCATAATTTTGCAGCCATGGATGTTGATTGTGAGGATGATGATGTATATCATATACCAAAATTAAAAGATAGCTCTTGGGAAGATGAAGAATTTGATGAGTTGAGAAACGAAAAGCTAGAAAAAGAATTGATTCAACTAATGGGAACAAGCAAAAATAATAGATGTGAATATAGAAATAATTTTGGAGGAGAAAATTTGAATTTTACTGAATTCATTAGATCTGAGATTAAAGAAGACAATCCTTCCATCCTTCAAAACCCACAGCCCATTAGAATTATTTCTAAGCTTGAAATATTTCACTCCTCACAAATTGAACAAATATGTATGGAAGATAAAATGGAGCAGGGAAAGATTATGCAGATAAAAGAAGACATTAAGAAATGGGTGAGTGGAAGAATTAGAGATACCAATTTAGATGAAAAAATTTTAGATTGGGCAAGAGCTAATCTGAAAATTATACGGCCTGATCACATTTTATGGTTTATTAATAGAAAGTATTTATTAATGAATGAGAGCCTAACAAAACAAGATAGAAATAAGGAAAGATTCTTTTCAAAATGGAAATATTATTTTTGGGAAAATTTTGTTAATTTCCATTTTGTTTTGGCTGAAAGTATGTCAAGGTATATATATGAAGTATATGAATTTATGCTAAATCTGAAAAAGAATATCATAAAACTTACCTTGGGATACAAATATATTTTGATGGCCATAGATCAGCTTATATGATATAAGAGCTGTCCAGCTGGAGACATTAAATTCAGCGCTGCATGGGAGGCAACCCATGGTTTTTATTTCATTTTGTTTGATCTCTGTTTTTCTTAGAATTTCGCAGTACTTGTTTCTGTGTTTGTTTTTCTTTCGAAAAAGTGCAGGAGGAGGAGTGTAAGATGAAGTGGAAAATTAAAAACGAGGTTGAGGTGATGTCTTTCTGAGCTTCATCATTTATGAAAATATTTTTAATGCTTAACTTTGCAGATATGCATGCTTCACTTGAAAATTATATTTTCTGCATATTCTGTTTCGAGTTTTCTGTGTCATTGAGGACAATGTCATTTTTAAGTTGGGGGGTGAAGTATTCATTATTAATTTATGCTGTAGGACGATTAAGAACATGTGTTTGCATTTTATTCAACTTAGAACAGCAACTAAAAAAAATAAAAATAAAATAAAATTCGGAAAAACTGCAACATCTATTTTCTGGTTTTCTGTTAGGAACAACAGACTGTCAAAAACAGCAGATGAAAAAACAACCCGAAATTTGAAATTCTAGAGACCCTTTTCTCACATTTCAATCCCGTAGACATATATTACTGAAATTCGAAATTACAGCTATAAAGAAGATAGTTTTGATTTATTTTTGACAAATTTATTGCTGCTAAAATAGAACTGAAAACAGAAAACAGAACTGTCAGAACTATCTAATTTACAAATTCCTTACATCATATTGCATGCATGAAAAATTAAATCAATTAGATTGATTGATACCAAAAGATACTAGGAAGATTATTATTGAGTCAAAAGAATGATCTGGTAGCATGAAATGTTGGAATACTCCTTGGATACATGATAGATAACACGGATTTGATTTTACAGATTTTCACTTCATGATCTTGATGGATAATATTTACTTGATGTGAAAATTTGATTGATCATTTGAGTTTAATGGAGATTTTTGCACCCTGATCTATAGGACTTGTGAGGAGAAATCACTTATTTCAAAAAACAAAAAAGAAAAAAAAAAAAGAGAGAGCAATGTGAAAAATCTAGAAACGAAGAGTACACATGGAGGGTGTGAGACATCATTCTCATTGTCGAAAATCGTGCATAGAAAAACACTTGCTGAAAAATAAGTGGATAAAGTGAAAGCCCTGAAAATGAAGAGTACACATGGAGGGTGTGAGACATCATTCTTATTGTCGAAATTTGTCTACAGGAAAAGCTACTTATCCACTATTTATAAAAAAAAAAAAAGAAGGAAGAAATATAGTGCAAACTTCAAAAATTAAGTCATAGAAAAAGGGAAATGTAAGATCAATATTATTCTTGGATGAGTATTGATAATTGGAACATCTTGTAAATACATCTATGAGTGAAGAAGTGATAAAGATGTGAATAGAAGAAGTGAAGTCTAGATTGTTATTCCAAGGAGTGTTTAAACATTTAAGTGCTTGACATCATTCTTAAATACTTGATATAAGAATCCAAAGTGTTTAAAGGTGCATCATTTCTAATTGTATTTCTTTTCTGTATTGAAATATGATGTTTGAGATTTGTAAATTTTTATTTTTGTAATTCCATTGCTAAGGGACTAGCAATGATTTAACTTGGGGGGTGTGATAAGTCTTCATTATCATGAGTTAATAATTAGTAAATAATATAGTTTTAGCCTTAACTCATGATAAATAGACTTATATTTGTGTTAAAGCATGAAAAGTGGTTTTCAGTTGATTAACGTTAATTTTTGGGTAATTATGTGATTTTATACGATTTTTACAGTCTTAGTTTTGAGATAAATGAAGAACAAGAAATAAAAATAAAAATATTGCAAAATGGGGAACCCGCCGGCCAGCCGGGCCCGCAAGCGGGTCGGAAGCGCAGTCGGGGAGTAGCCGCGAGCAGGGGCTCGAGCGGCTTGCTTGGATCGATAGGGGCACGTGTGCGCCACTCCCCTTCCACGTCACCGGTGGCCAGCCGGCTGTGGGGCAAGGAGTGGTCGTACACGCGAGAGAAGAGACTTTGCCTTACAAAGCTAACATTACTATATATTCGCCCGAAAAATCGGTGCACAACCGATGTGGGACTAAACCCCCGTCACACCTTGTTCAGGGGCGGGCGACCGCCGCGGGTTCGAATCCTCCCAGAGTCAAAATTCATATATTTTTAACTGATTATCGCGACTTTCCTGCAGATCGCCGCTGAAGGATTAAGCAACCAGAATCGTTGGATCATCGGCGAAAATCTCGTCAACGCAATTCGCGGAGCATTGCTACTAAAGTTGCTGAACGATTCACGATAAAAGGATCGCGAATCCATCGAGTAAATCATCTCCGATTGATCGACGAACAAGCCGTCGTCGGGAAGAGGACGATCCGTCGGGAGACAAGTCGCCACCTCCTGAGAGCGTACCAGATGCGATGAAGAGCCTCCTCTTGCTGCGCGGACCTGAGGATGAAGCTCCCTAACACGCGCCTCACCTCCATCCCGCCCCTCTCCGTCGGGTGACAGCCGCCGGAGAGCCGCAAAGTCGCCGTTTTTCCGCTCCGCCGGGTGACAGCCGCCGGAGACGATTCGACGACCCACTTCATTGGTCTCTAGACTTCGCGAGAAGATCTAGAGATTGCCCACGTCGTCTTTGTCCAAGGAGAGCCTTCGAGGCCGTAGACACTGCACGACGACCCTCCCGAACGCTCAGGATTCCGGTGCATCGCCGACGCGTCGCCGTCGCGACGCCGGAACTCTGTTTTCCTGCTTTATCTAGAGACTGCCCACGTCGTCTTTGTCCAAGGAGAGCCTTCGAGGCCGTGGACACTGCACGACGATCCTCCCGAACGCTCAGGATTCCGGTGCATCGCCGACGCATCGCCGACGCATCGCCGTCGCGACGCCGGAACTCTGTTTTCCTGCTTTCAATTTAATTTACGCTTCATTTAGTGATACTTTGTTGATTTTTATTTACCAAACTATACTTCGTTCAACTACGATTCTTCCGGCTTTTACAGATCTTAATTTGATTAATTGAGTCGTCTGTAATCGCCTACGTAAGAATCGCCGGGCGGAACTGTGTTTCCGCCTGATTCGCGTTCGCCGGGCGCTGACGTCATCCTGACGTCCGCACCCTTATTTCCTTTTTTTTTCGTGAATTTTAAATATATTTCCTTTTTATTTTCTAGTATAAAATTCGTAAGAAAATCGTACTCATTGAGAAAAATTCTGAATAATTACCAGATATTATATTACATCCCTGTGATCGACCTAGAAAATTACCGCTATTTTTGGAATTTTTATTGAATTATAATTGATATATTTATTTAGAAATACTTCTAAATATCCGAAAATTCGTATTTTCTAGTTTTATAAATTTTATATTTGCGTGATTTAACATACAACGACTGAGTCACGTCAACCCTTTTCTCACATTTCAATCCCCTAGATATATATTACTGAAATTCGAAATTAAAACTATAAAGAGGATAGTTTTGATTTATTTTTGACAAATTTATTGTGGCTAAAAATAAACTGAAAAAAGAAAATAGAACTGTCAGAACTATCTAATTTACAAATTCTTTACATCATATTACATGCATGAAAAATTAAATCAATTAGATTGATTGATACCAAAAGATACTAGGAAGATTATTATTGAGTCAAAAGAATGATCTAGTAGTATGAAATGTTGGAATACTCTTTGGATACATGATAGATAACATGGATTTGATTTTACAAATTTTCACTTCATGATCTTAATGGATAGTATTTACTTGATGTGAAAATTTGATTGATCATTTAAATTTAATGGAGATTTTTGCACCCTGATCTATAGGATTAATGAGGAGAAATCACTTATTTCGAAAAAAAAAGAGAGAGCAATGTGAAAAATCTAGAAACGAAGAGTACACATGGAGGGTGTGAGACATCATTCTCATTGTCGAAAATCGTGCATAGAAAAACACTTGCAGAAAAATAAGTGGATAAAGTGAAAGCCCTGAAAATGAAGAGTACACATGGAGGGTGTGAGACATCATTCTTATTGTCGAAATTTGTCTACAGGAAAAGCTACTTATCCACTATTTATAAAAAAAAAAAAAGAAGGAAGAAATATAGTGCAAACTTCAAAAATTAAGTCATAGAAAAAGGGAAATGTAAGATCAATATTATTCTTGGATGAGTATTGATAATTGGAACATCTTGTAAATACATCTATGAGTGAAGAAGTGATAAAGATGTGAATAGAAGAACTGAAGTGTAGATTGTTATTCCAAGGAGTGTTTAAACATTTAAGTACTTGGCATCATTCTTAAATACTTGATATAAGAATTCAAAGTGTTTAATGGTGCATCATTTCTAATTATATTTTTTTTGTATTGAAATATGATGTTTGAGATTTGTAAAATTTTATTTTCGTAATTCCATTGCTAAGGGACTAGCAATGATTTAAGTTGGGGGGTGTGATAAGTCTTCATTATCATGAGTTAATAATTAGTAAATAATATAGTTTTAGCCTTAACTCATGATAAATAGACTTATATTTGTGTTAAAGAATGATTTTTTGTTTTCAATTGATTAACGTGAATTTTTGGGTAATTATGTGATTTTATACAATTTTTACAGTCTTACTTTTGAGACAAATCAAGAACAAGAAATAAAAATAAAAATATTGCAAAAATGGGGGGACCCGCCGGCCAGCCGTGCTCGCAAGCAGCTCGGAAGCGCAGTCGGGGAGTAGCTGCGAGCAGGGGCTCAAGCGGCTTGGCTTGGGGACCGACTGACACGCGTACGCCACTCCCCTTCCACATCACTAGTGGCCAGCCGGCTATGGGGCAAGGAGTGGTCATACACGTGAGAGAAGGGACTAACCCCCGTCACACCTTCCTCAAAAGAGGCGGGCGATTGGCGTGGGTTCGAATCCTTCCAGAGTCAAAATTCATATATTTTTATTTGATTATTGCGACTTTCTTGCAGATGGCTGGGGAAGGATTAAGCAACGAGAATCGCTGGATCATCGGCGAAAATCTCATCAACACGATTCGCAAAGCATTGCTACTAAAATTGCTGAACGATTCACGATAAAAGGATCGCGAATCCATTGAGTAAATCATCTCCGATTGATCGACGAACAAGCCGTCGTCAGGAAGAGGACGATCCGCCGGGAGACCAGTCGCCACCTCCAGAGAGCGTACCAGATGCGATGAAGAGCCTCCTCTTGCTGCGCGGACCTAAGGATGAAGCTCCTTAACACGCGCCCCACCTCCATCCAGCGCCTCTCTGTCAGGTGACAGCCGCCGGAGAGCCGCAAAGTCGCCATTTTTCCACTCCGCCGGGTGACAGCCACCGGAGACGATTTGACGACTCACTTCATTGATCTTTAGACTTTGCGAGAAGATCTAGAGATTGCCCACGTTGTCTTTGTCCAAGGAGAGCCTTCGAGGCCGTGGGCATTGCACAACGATCCTCCCGAACGCTCACGATTTCGGTGCATCGCCGACGCATCGTCGTCGCGACGCCGGAACTCTGTTTTCCTGCTTTCAATTTAATTTACGCTTCATTTAGTGATACTTTGTGTGATTTTAATTTACCAAACTATATTTCGTTCAATTATGATTCTTCTGGCTTTTACAGATCTTAATTTGATTAATTAAGTCATCTGTAATCGCTTACGTAAGAATCGCCGGGTGGAACTCTATTTCTGCTGTTTGCTAGGAGCTGACATCATCCTGACGTCTGCACCCTTATTTCCTTTTTTTCGTGAATTTTAAATATATTTTCTTTTTATTTCCTAGTATAAAATTTGTAAGAAAATCGTATTCATTGAGAAAAATTCTGAATAATTACCAGATATTATATTACATCCCTGTGATCGACCTAGAAAATTATCGCTATTTTTGGAATTTTTATTGAATTATAATTGATATATTTATTTAGAAATACTTCTAAATATCCGAATATTCGTATTTTCTAGTTTTATAAATTTTATATTTGCGTGATTTATTGTACAACGACTGAGTCACGTCACACCCCTTATTTTGCTTTATTTGATGAGATTTAATTTGTGGAGATTAGGCAACAGAATCAAGTTGAGGCACTAACACATGACATCATCAAATGAGGAGATCAGAAGTTGTTAAGAACATCCACACAATCATCAATGGATCTCAACATTTAAGAAGATCATACTTATTGAGCGATTAGACTCTTGCCTAATATTTTCGTAGCCAAAAAGATAGAAATGCCCTCATTTAATCACAGTTCTACAAATGTATTCCCATCCTCTCATGTAAACCCTTACGCATTTAAGCTGCTATTTAGAGGCAAAAGAACGAACTTTGAATGTCCCGACATTTAGTCGGCTAAATGAAACCATATTGAGGTTTTACATCAATCTAGACGTGTTAGAGTTGATTTAAGCTTTGTTTTGTAGCTAAGATCATTAGGGAAGCATACTCAAAGTGGAAACTATCTAGCCTTTGTGAAATATAGAGGCCTGAGGTAAGTTCTCCAAGTCCAATATGTTTTGAGTGTGAACAACAATCTAGCTTCTGTAGTTTTGAACATATAGAAATATAGTGTTAACTTTGTCTCACAAATCGTTTGTGAGTGTTTTCCCCATTTTTAGTTGTCATCTACATCGCTGAACCATTGTTTCCCCCTTTTTTGACAGTGAAAATTCTTCTTATTTGTCATCACCTCTCTTTTGAACTCGTTTGATTTAAATAGTAACTAAGTACATCTAATTCTCATTCCTTGTCGATCGACCTCGAGCTTACCACAATATTTACCTATTTTAGTATTTTTATTTGATACATTTGTGATTATAAATATTTTTGATCAACTAATTTTGGGGCTTTCAATGACCCTTGATTTCGTTTTATCAACTGACACCGTTCCTAGGGAATGAGTGCCATTAGACGTGAGTAGCTTTTTAATTGAGTTAAATTCCCATTATTATTTATTTTAAAGAACAAATTTATAGAATATCCAATCATTAATAGGTCTGTTTTCAAAAATTTTCATAATCTATCATTGAGATAGTTATATAAATCTTTACTGAAATAGAAGTTTACAATGTTCATTGTATTTCTTTAAATATTTTGAATTGATTTTTTTATATATAGACTGAATTTGTATTTTTAAATTTGAAGTAGTCAAGGTGAAAGTGTTTGGTATACTTACTTTATTCACTATTTTAATTTCCTGTATTTCTTTCTTTTCTCTTTATCAATACTCACTGAGCCATATTCTATGCAAGGTCACATATCCCTAAAACAACCATTAGCGATCCCTAAACAAGATCAGACCAACACATCTAGCTCATACACTTTTGAAAACCCCATACTATAAGAAAATCAAATGGCCCAACAAAACCCAAACAATGAGACAATGAGGCTGAAAGACCATTTTGTCCCTCTCCAATACCGACCAATATAGGTGAGGGAGTGAATTTTAGAGTAGATCATCATATTGTGCAAATGCTACTAAAGTTTCATGGAATGAGTCATGAGGAATCATACAAGCATTTAGAAGATTTTTTTTCAAGTATGTGAGATTTCTTATTATCCCAATGTCCCACTAGAAGTGCTAAAAATGAGATTATTTCTTTTTACCCTAAAAGACAAAGCAAAAGAGTGGCTCAGAACCCTAGCACAAGACTTAAATTCATGGGGTGAAATGGAGACCACCTTCTTAAAGAAATTTTATTCTGTAGGGAGAATTAATATTGTAAGGAAGTCAGTTAGATATTTTAATCAAGGATCATAGGAATCATTTTATGAGACTTGGGAGAAATGAAAGAATATAGTAGACAATGTTCTCACCATGGGATTCAAATTGGCAGCTAGTTCAAATATTTTATGAAGGATTAGGAGATAAAGATAGACACATGATTGATGCTGCTAGTGGTGGGACATTTATGAATAAATTTGATGATGAAGCCCTAGATTTAATTGAAATGTTGGCTGAAAATAGTACTCATCATATAGTATTAAATCAAAACGGAAGGCAAATAAGGCCTAGAAGAGGTGGAATGATTGAAACAAAAGCTGTTGAATCCGAAATATTTTTAGAAAAAATTGATAAAGTGATGAAAGATGTAAAATTTTTGATGGACAAGTCATCAACAGCTCCTGCTCAAGCTTTTGAACAGTCCATGCATGGCCCAGATATGACTGCATGTACCCTTTGTTCTAGTTATGAACATGTAGAAATAGAGTGTCCTAGAATGAAGGGTTGATGGCAATGAATGATAGAGTCAGTCCCCCTCAACTTATTGCTAGACACTCATGGTCAGAAAGGACATCTCAACCTCCTGTATACAGAACACAATATAACAAATACAACAACTAAAATTATAAAAGAGGAAATGATAACACCTATCAACCATCATTTCCCAAATTTCTAACAGCAAGGTCCCTTCCAGCCAATCCTACGTCCACAAAATTTTCAGTCCACTCAACCAACTCATCCTGCTCAAAACAAAGCCACCTTGGCTACTAATGAATTGTTGAAGCAGATGTTGCAGGAGCAAAAGGAGCAAATGCAAGAGCTGAGGATAGAAATGGAAAAAATGAAGATGATGGTGGGAGGGTAGTCACAACAAGGCTACACCACACACGATAGATAAAAACATAAAATGATTAAAGTAGGGTTAGGTGACCATGAAGTAGGTCAATTTCTTACTCAACCTGTTTTAAATCCTCCAAATTTATATTTTTCTACAAATAAGCATTATATTCATGAAGTAAAGAGTAAAGAACTTGAGTTAGAAACACTGCACATTATTTAAAGACTTAGGAATGTAAAGGATTTGCCTGATCCATATGAACTGAGTGAAGAAATAGAAGTTGAAAGAAAAATCCAACATAGATAAAACTCAAGAAAAAGTAGAAGAGCTAGCAAAGGATGAACCTAATCCCGAGGGATATAAATTGCTTGTTCCTTAATGCTCTGAAAATATCAAAAAAAAACTCAACCAATCTGATTATCATTTGCTAGAACTGTTCAAACAAGTTATAATAAATATTCCATTAGTTGATGCCATAGAACACATACCATACTATGTTAAATTTTTAAAAGGATTATGTACACCTAGTAGAAAACAAAAATAGATTTAATTATCTGAAAATATTAATTCCATATTACTTAATCACATTCTTAAAAAGTGTAGGGATCTAGGAGCACCCTTGATTAAATGCGAAATAGGAGGTATGATTTCACCTGTTCATTGTTTGATTCAGGTGCAAGTGTCAATATTATTTTCAAAATTATATATGATAAATTCAAAATGGGTGAGTTACAACCTATTTTCTTAGAACTGCAGCTAGCTGATGGGTCAAGTAGATAGTCATAGTTCTTGAGTTAAAATATTAGAAGATGTCATAGTTAAAATTGAAAACTGTTATTTCTAGTAGATTTTATTATTGTTTATATGAAGATGACTGAAAATATCAATCATGCTCCTATAATCCTTGGTAGACCCTTCTTAGAAACAGTCAAAGCCATAATAGATCGGGGAAAGAGGATAGTAGAGTTAAAATTTGGGTAAGAAAAGGTTGAAATTAATATTTCTAAGCTATTGAAACATCTTGAAAAATTAACTAAGGATTATTGCTTTGTGGATGCATGTGAAAAATTATTTGATTATAATCTTTTACAAACTTCAAATGTTTCGTATGAGTTGCACAATAATTCTGAAATTCATGATAATTTGATGCACAATTGTGACCAACAGCTTGAATTAAAAACATGGCCATCCACTCAAATATGATTTTCTTGGTGAAAATAATACTTTTCTTGTCATCATTTCTTCATCATTAACACTAGCACAAGAAGAACAGCTAATGAATATTCTTGAGCTGCATAGAGCAGCAATCGGTTGGTCTCTTGTAGACATTAAGGGCATTAGTGCAAACACATGTATGCACAGAATTTTTATTGAGGAAAATGTCAAAACCTCTAGAGAAGTTCAAAGATGATTGAATCCTAAGATGTTAGAAGTGGTGAAGGGAGAGATTATGAAATGGTTGGATGCAGGAATTATATATGCCATTTTAGATAGGCCATGGGTAAGCTCTATCCATGTAGTACCCAAGAAGACAGGAATCATAGTGACTAGAAATGAAAAAGGGGAGGAGATTCAAACTAAATTACCATCAAGTTCAAGAATTTACATAGATTATAGGAAGTTAAATGCTGTAACGAAAAAATATCATTTTACTTTACCTTTAATTAATCAAATTCTAGAAAAATTAGCTGGTAAATATATTTTTTATTTCTGGAAAAATTAGTTGGTGAAAATTAGCTATACATCAGGATGATCAAGAAAAGACCACTTTTACATCTTTTTTGGCACATGCATTTAGGAGAATGCCCTTCGGTTTATGTAATGCACCATCTATATTTCAGCGATGCATGCGTACTATGTTTTCAAACTTAGTTGGTGAATGTTTAGAAGTTTTTTAATTTTTGTCAATCATTTGAGTGCTGTCTTGCTGACTTAGCAAAGGTTTCACAATTGTGCATGGACAAGAACCTAGTGCTAAGTTAGGAGAAATCCTATTTCATGGTGCAAGAGGGAGTGGTGCTGGGCCATCTAGTTAGCAAATGTGGATTAGAGGTGGACAAGGCCAAGATAGAAGTGATCCAAAATCTCCCCCTCCCCAACTCCATTAGACAACTGAGAGCTTTTTTGGGTCATGCTGATTTTTATAGATGTTTTATTACAGACTTTGATAAAGTTTCTAAACCTTTTACTAACTTACTTTCTAAAGATGTTAATTTTGAAATAAATGCTGCAGGCCAACAAGCTTTTTTATAGATTAAGAGGGCAATTTTTATAGAGGCTCTAATTTTTCAACCACCCAACTAGAGCCTCCCTTTTGAACTAATGTGTGATGCCTCAGATTTTGTAGTAAGAGTAGTGCTAGGTCAACGAATTGACAAGAAATCCAAAGCAATTTATTATGCAAGTAAGACGTTGGTCAAAGCTCAAGTAAATTACACTACTACAGAAAAAGAATTATTAGTTATTGTTTTTGCATTAGATAAATTTTGATCTTATTTGTTAAGTAGCAAAATTATCATACATTCTGATCATTTTGTCCTTAAATATTTGCTTAGTAAGAATGCAGCAAAACCTTGATTCATTAGGTGGGTTTTATTATTATAAGAATTTGATGTTGAAATTAAAGATAGATGAGGATGTGAAAATTGTCTAGCTGACCACTTATCTCGATTAGATACACACAATTCAAGGAAGAACCTGAATTGTTTCATTTAGGAGTTGACCAGATTTTTAGACAATGTGTCCTTGAAGATGAACAACATAGCATATTAAATTTTTTCATTCTTTTTCTTGTGGTGGACATTTTGTATCTAAGAGAAATACTACAAAAAATTTACAATGTGGTTTTTTTGGCCTACTACATTTAAGAATTCATACGATTCTTGTAAAACTTGTTTGAAGTGTCAAGCTGCAATCAACATAACTAAGAAAGACTCCATGCCATTACAACCAATTATTGAAGTTGAAAATTTTGATTTGTGGGGCATAGATTTTGTGGGACCATTTCCCTCATCTAATGGTCATGAATACATTTTAATGGTTGTTGATTATGTTTCTAAGTGGATAGAGGCTATCTCTACTAGAACAAATGATCATAAGGTAGTCCAATCAATTGTGCATCATATCTTTTCACGTTTTGGTTGTCCAAGAGCCATAATTAGTGATGGTGGATCACATTTCAATAACTATCATTTCAATGCCTTAAGAAATATGGTGTGCAGCATAAGATGATCACACCCTATCACCCACAAGTCAATAGTCAAATTGAAGTCACAAGTAAAGAAACTAATTTTTTTTACAGAAATTCGTTAGACCTGATGATAAAAATTAGATAAATAGACTTCATGATGCATTATGGGCATAGAGAACAGCCCATAAAAACCCTATAGGAATGTCTCCATATAAACTGATTTTTGGTAAAGCTTGTCACTTACCTGTTGAAATTGAACATAGGGTTTGTTGGACTCTCAAGAAACTAAATTTATCTCTAGATGAAGTAGGGAAGAATAGGATTCTACAAATTCAAGATCTACAAGAATTACAAAACGAAGCTTATGAAAATTCTGTGATTTAAATTCATGATAGACATTTGAATCATAAGTAATTCTTTGAAAATAAAAAAGTTTGGCTATACAAGTCACGCTTGAAGTTATTTCAAGAAAACTTAAATCAAGGTGGGATACATCTTTCATTGTTATTAAATTATTTGATTGTGGAGCATTTTTAAATGCAAATCTTAAGACAAGTCAATAGCTTAAAGTGAACAAGCAAAGACTTAAACCATACATGCAGCATGAGCAACACCCTTTGGACAACTCTCTTTAACTGTAGGATCTACGTCCATCTCAAATCTCCTATTGACAACATCCTAGTCATTAAATTGACAATTTTTAGAATTTAATATAATCACCTTTTTATTCAGTGGCTTTTTTTCTTTTCAATCTTCTTTTGTAGTTATCTTTAATTCAAATGGAGTACGTAGGTGGGTTTAGTACATGACCATGGCAATAGTGTAACACATACACAGCAGCAACAAATACAACAGGGACTACATTACTTAGTTTGCACCTTCTTCCTCTAAATTTATTTTTCTAATGCACTAGGGATAATGCAGAATTTAAGTTGGGGGGTGAGAAGATTAATTTCCTGTAGTATACACTTAGAATATTATGAACTCACACATTTTTGAATTTATCTTATAGTTGTAATATAGAAAGACAATAAAAATAGCATAAATTAGATTGTCATATTGTTCGATCCCCATACTCACAAACTTGCTTTCATTGATGAATCTTAAAAAAAGAGATCAATGTCAATAGTATTTTAGATATTCATGAACATAAGTTTGTAGTTAGTAGGTTTAATTATTATTTTTTTAATCAAAATACTTCTATTATTGTCATAGAATTATTTCAAGCTACTTGGTTTTCTTGCTAAGAATACTATATGATTTAGATGATGAGTTGAAGGAAGATCACTCAACACTTTTATGCTCATATAAAATTTATTAGCAGAGTGTGAGCCTCCAAAGTATGAATATTGACATTCAAACTTTCAACAAATATTTAGAGAAAAGCTATTTGTCAAAAAAAAAATATATTTTTTTGTGTAAAGTGAAGCCTAAATGCAAATAAAAGAGGAATTTTTCCTCTTTGTCCTGTGGGGCTACCACATGTGAGACTAGGACAAGTATTACTTTATTTTGGAAAAGTTACCAACACAACACATGAGTCATATTCAATAAGTTACAATGGTCTGAGTTAAACTCAAATTCTAAAATCTATTGGTGATATTTGGCTAGTAATGAGAGTAGATGAATTAATAACTAGACAATTCAGTTGTTGAGATTGAAAAAAAAAATGAACTAACCTAAACTCTACTTGATTGTGATTCATGAATGTCTTTACATGAGCAGGTGAAACTCTCAAATGAAGATTTGTGAAATGATAGGCAAGTTAGTTGATGTGTGGGGTGAATGTCAATATGCATTTTTATTAAATTACCATGTAGGAACTTGAAATATTTTCTTCCTAAGAGTCTAGCAACAACTTAAGTTAGGGGATTGAAATGTGAGAAAAGAGTCTCTAGAATTTCAAATTTTGAGCTGTTTTTGATAGTCTATTGTTCCTAACAGAAAACCAAAAAATAAGTGTTCTATTTTTTCTAATTTTTTTTAAATTTCTATTCTAAGTAAGCGTGAAAAAAATGCAAACACATGTTCTTAATCGTCCTACAGCATAAATTAAGAATTAATACTTCACCCCCCAACTTAAAAATGACATTGTCCTCAATGACATAAAAAAATCAAAACAGAATATGCAAAAAATATAATTTTCAAGTGAACCATACATATTTATGCAAAATTAAGCACTAAAAATGTTCTCATAAATGATAAAGCTCAAAAAGACACTACCTCAACTTTGTTTTTAATTTTTTACTTCATCTTACACCTCCTCCTGCACTTTTTTGAAAAAAAAAAACTAATGTAAAAATAAATACTACGAAATTCTAAGAAAAACAGAACTTAAAAAAAGTCAAATAAAATAAAATAAAAACCATGGGTTGCCTCCCATACAGCGCTGAATTTAATGTCTTTAGCTAGACAATTCTTAGATCATATATGATGATATATGGCCATCAAATATATTTATATCCTAAGATAAGTTTCATGATATTCCTTTTCAGATTTAGCAAAACATTTTCTTAAAAATAATATTTCCATTTTGAAAAGAACCTTTTCTCATTTTTATCTTATTTTGTAATGCTCTCGTTCATTAATAAATATTTTCTATTAATAGGCCATAAAATGTGATCAAGTCATATAATTTTCAAATGAGCTCTTACCCATCTAGATTTTTTTCATCTAAATTGATATCTCTAATTCTTTCACTCACCTATTTCTTAATGTATTCTTTTATCTGCATAATCTTCCCGTACTCCATTTTATTTTTCATACATATTTATTCAATTTGTGAGGAGTA